TGTTCCTTTCTCTGCCTCTCTTCCACAGGGAGAAGCAGAGCTCTGGTCTGGTATTCCACCTCATGGTTTAACTATGTGCTTGTTTCCAGTTTGAAGTTCTTGAATTTGGATCTCCCAGTCGTGCGCACAGGAGGGTCATTGGCGCCTCCGTCCTCAAGCTGAAACCTGCTTTAAATCACTTTAAACTCCAACAGACAATTAGCCATTTTGTTTTCTGATAATGTAAATGATCTGCTTTGTCACCCTCAGATTTGAGCCTCCTGATATTCGTGGGGGGTTAGGTATCTCAACCGCTACCGAATAGCTAAAATGCATTTCATTAGCATGTCAAGCAAAGACTATGTGTATGTATTTCAGCTTTCCAAGCTGCATTTTCTTTTGAATATTTCAGAAAAACTCCAGAATACCCCGCCAATAATTCGCCTGGCTAGTGAATGCGACTATGCTGGATTTCCTGCAGTTAGAGTTTTGTGGGTCTGCATCAAGATTTTCTGTCTGTGGAGCCTGCCTGAAAACCCTCAAAGGCAGGGAGAGAGAACCTTCTGACCAGAAGGTGAGAGAACCTCCTGAACTCTCCCCACATGACGGAGTTTGGTCTATTTCTACGGTTGCGTTTCACCATCTTATGAAAGAAGTCCATTTCAGCAGGTTGGACATGGTGGACATGTCCTTTAAGTCATTTCCGTATCTCTTGACCATGGCTGAGGGTTGGTAAACAAAAATCATCGTCACAGTAAAAGACAGGTGCAATCCCTGCGTTAAGATCCTAATCTATCTATGCATCCGACCATGACTTATAGACATGGCACCAAGTATTAAACATCTCGCATATCCTAAGAAAGAAAACAATTCAAAAGTAGCATCAAAGACATAGTGTTGGAAAAAATCCCAAAGTGAATATTTAAAATGTTTCGTACCAAAACACATCAACAGAGAAGTCATCTCCAAAGATGTCCCATTTAAACCAGCGTCACATCATTACCCAGTGTATGCTGCCCCCACCTAGCAAGCACATGTAATGCTAGACTTTTAATAATTTCACTGCTGATTTTTATTGGCTTAGTTTGCAAAAGGAACTCCTGAGGCAGCAGGCAGATATCACTGACGCCAGAAACCACCAAGATTTTGTACGTTCAACCATGTTTTTTCAGCCTCGATGAGAAAACGTGTGGCTGGATGCCGGCAAAGAGAAAGTGAACATCAGCTCATTACTCCGTCAGGGACACTTTATATATGTATGGGGGGGAAAAAAAGTGCTGTGTTGAGTTGGCTTGGAGAAGGCTAATGACCGTGCCCCGGGGGTATCTTCTGAGCATGATATGAGGTTTTGGGGTTGTGCTCCGCCAGGGATATGCCTCATCAACAGCTCTTTTTGCAAGTTTCATGGAATGAAGCTTTGAGATGAAGAGAGCGTCAAGTGTGCCGGCTTTGGGATTGCACTAGGCTTTTTTCTTCTTTTTTTGCAGATGATGTGGCTTTGTTTTGCTCTGGGGTGCAGAGGGATGGTGGGGGGGCATCGAGCCGTGGAGTGAGTCACAGGTGTAGGCGTTGAAGGATCTCATGGCCCTGCTTATAAGAGGGACTGTGAGAATCAATAGACCACTGCTGCACTGCCCTTAAAGTGCACAATGTGCTGTTCTGTTTTTATTGAATCCTGGTCTGAATCATTTCATTTACACTAAAAATACAGATAAATATCTACTATACACATGAGGAAGGAAAGAAAAGCAAATATTTACACCTATGACTACTCTGGGTCACCAAAGAAATCATAAGGTGAATGAAAATTCATATTTGAATAAAATAAAATACAAGTAACTATAGTTTGCAGGATGCAGGCAATATGAGTATCTGCTCCTTTTGTTCATTGAAAAAGTGCACAAAGTTGGAAATTAAAGTAACATAAGACAGTATGGAATGTTGGGTGAAAGAAGGTAGAGCATAATAATAATAATAAATAATAATAATAATTGGAGAATAAATAATAAAATTATATTTATCATCCCTTGATTTGCATTTTAAAAAAAAGTCAAATTGTACAGAAATTGTTTTCATGAGGGGCAGACATGCACATCACTGAATTACAGGAAATCTATAAAGGTGGCTCAAGAAGGCCTTGTAGAATAGAACACAATATAAGTTATTGATCTCAGATGGGAAATTGCTTATTTGTCGACAAGCTTCTCCATCCAAGATGTTAAATATTAAAGATTAATAGCTCTGACAATAGTAACAGTGATTTTAGATTTGCTTCAAGGCTTTTTAAGCATTGGAGTAAATGGTCATCGGTTTTGTGACGGGTATGTCCTTTTTACTTGATGATTCATTTTATTTTATTTTATTCTTTTATGTTCCATATGGGCTGTTGTTTTTGTCTGAAATAAAGATATTCAAAATAAAGATATTCAAAATAAAGATATTCACTTAGTAAATACAATTACAACTACAAGCGATATTTACGTTTGTGTGAATGTTAATTCTACATAACATGGTAGTTTCTATGAAAGCATTGAGCCTCGTTTGTCATCGCTGTGATTTTCAGGTTGAATATCTGTTGGTTGATAGCTTGTAGTTTCTGAGGTTGGTAAGTTTCTTCAAAGACCTGGAGGTTTTCTATGTGCTTTTAGTACCAACAACAGCCTGCAGTTTCTGCAGTAAACTCTAGTCAGCTTCTACTCTCTAAATCAGCTTGGAATTTCAGTACTGACTAAATAGTTTCAAAATGATCTTATTTCTAATTTAACTTGAGTTTCCACACTGAACTGTAGCTTCTCCATGGAATTCCAGCTTCTCCATTTGCTTGTGGTTAACATAATCCTCTCGGTCTACATTCGCCTCTAATTTCTACATTAACCTGTCATTTCACTGCCTTGTGGTTTCTGTGTTAACTTGTATTTTGGACTGACCGTCCATGAAGAGTAATAATGCCATGTTTGTTGTAGTCCATTGCTAACATCTGACATTTTTAACTTCAAAAAAACGACACTACTGCACTGCATATTACTGCCAGAGCAGTCAGAGGAGCAATTAACTTCTCACAGAACGTAAATACGACACTCCCTTCCATTTTCAGAGTCAATATTTAGGTCTGGAAACGACGTTGCTCCTAATTTATCACCATTTCCAAATCCGGTTTTTCCTCAAACGTCTTTTTCCAATCAAGAAGAAAGGGGGAAATGATCTAATTTAGCTGCTCACAGCTTTTTAATTAGTCGTTGCCCACTTCCAGCCCTGAGCGAGAGCAGCTCTTCTGAATGCCCGGTGAATTCTTCCTGCCAACACGCAGGTGCATCTCAATACAGAGGGCCGTCATCAAAAACTCTATTTATTTCACAAATCTCTTTCAATAAGCAAAACTCATTTTAAAAGCAGTAGTCCTGTGAAAAAGATTCTATATTTTTTTTCCTGTTTTTGCTTTTTCCTCATGCTTAAATCTTGATGATTAAACATTTTATTACATTTTCAGTACAACGTCAGAAAGCACATTTTCTTAAACCATGATTTAATTTATTGAATGAAGATGTATCCACACCAAACTGGCACCAAAGTGGAAAAGTAATTACTGCTAAACCTAATAACTGCTCGTGCCACCCTTTATGGCAGCAGCTACCCAGTATTTTACAACGCTTGGCGATGAGTGTTTTAGGGTTCTGTGGAGGACATTACCCCACTTTTCTTTTCAGAATTAATTTAATTCAGTCAGACTGAAAGGTTTTCCTGCATAAACAAGCTTTATGCAGTCACGCAACAGAAAATTATGAAAGCATTTAATTGCCAGGACTAGGAAATAAATGCAGCATCCTGTTGGATTCAAAACATTTCTTGTTATAACGAGATGGTCAGTGTGCTCAAATGAGAAAAATTTAGTTTAATGTCTTGTAACAGGAATGCTCCTCATGTTAACAATACTAAAAAAAATGTTTTTTTTTTTTTGCTGTTACAACGTTTCATTTAATTTAAACAAGAACATATTTTGGTTTTAACAAAAAAATTAAGATTTATTTGTATACCTGAATATTTGTAGTACTCCTCCTGAATTTATTTCCAAAAGTTCTGGCAGTTAAATGCGTCCATAGAAACTCAAACAGAATAAATTTCAGACTTTGACTAGGTCACCACAAAACCTTCATGTTTTTCAGGATTACCTGCAAGAAAGCCAGTGAAGATTTGTCATTCCATCAATTTCAGCAAGTGAATATGTAAATATGAGACAAGTCTTTGTGTCCTTTTGGAAATTTTTGCTCAGTCTCTCTTGTATTGTTGGATCATGAGCTCTGACCCTAACTGAGGCAAACAAAGTCTGCAGAGCTTTAGATCCTGGATGAGTCACTTTGAGTAATTTTGGTAGACTAGCCGATTCTGGAAAGGTTCTCCATATATCCACTGGTAGTCTGGAGAGCCTTTGAAATGTTTTTGTAACTATTTAAAGTAGTTTTGGAAACTGAACAGAAAACACAACCACTGTGAAATTATGATTTAACAAAAGGAAAAGTTATATTTTCACATTAAGCCAGGTTGGTTTGGATAGAGATCATCATTTCCAAACTGCTTTTTCTTTCAGGTTTGTCTGATATCAAAAAATCACTTGATGACCTGGTACTGTATATATATATATATATATATATATATATATATATATATATATATATATATATATATATATATATATATATATATATATATATAATATATATATATATCATTATTTTCATGAATAATGAATGTATATGTAATAACAGCACATTTTCCATGAATAATTTTACTGAGATGCACCTGCATGACAAAACGCCATAATCAGTTTCCATAATGATGGAATGCAAAAGAAAGAAAAAAAAAAGAGTTACTCACTCCCCCCGTGTAGCAAAGGCTTAAATGTAAATATTTTTCCCTCAGATTAATTTCAGAACAGTACGCATTATATAAGCGCGTCCATGTCAAGCAGCAGGGAACGGGGGGCTGAGTGGAGGATAGAACCTCCCTCCTTGTCCGCATCTCATTAAGCGAGTCCCGCTGTAGGTGAAGCTGCCTCGCGCTGCCATTCTGAAGCAGGTGTCCAACATGGCGAACGCTCGCAGCGGCTCTCTGGCGACTATTCTGTTCCTCTTCGCGTTTCCGGCGGCTCTTCACAAAGGTAGGACTTTTTCTGCTTGTGCGTGGACTGAGGACGCCCTTTGTTCCCGCGTTTCCGCGGATGTAGATGCGGTGGAGTGTCATTTTAGCAGTTTTTTTTTTTTTTTTTGTGGGAAGTCGTCCAGGGCAGAGAGGGCTTGGATTCGGCCGAGATGTTGTTCACCAAGTAGGAGAACATGTCTAAAGTTGAAGCTCTGAGCAGAACCGGGCTGGGTTGGGTGTTTTTTTGGCGTTGCAGAGGCGCTGCCCAGCCGATACATCACTTTGGACCGCTCACCATTTGACTGGAGGCTGAAACCGCTTCTCCCTCCTCCACCCCCACCGCTGGGAACCGCTTTAAGAAAATAAGTGTTAGACAAGAGTAACTTCTATTTCTGCGTGATGTGAGGACGGATGAACCTGTCTGTTCGTGTGCGTGCTCGCATTGTCGCTGTTTCTGTCCCAGAGGTTACTTTGTGGCGTGTTCTGAACGGACAGAGCAGCAGTGCGTGGAAACTCCTCTGTGCTGCAGCTTCTGCGTGTCAAAGCGGAACTCCATAAGCAACTTTGTTCATTTAACGTGCTTCAACCGACTCGGAGATTTCTCCCGAGGATTTTTGTTTGGGTACTCTGCGGTGATAACAGTGTGCATGTCTTGATTAATTCGGCGTAAAGACATGCTGCAAATCGGTATGTTTTGTAATTAATCTCTTGGTTTAATGTTGAGATGTCGCCTGTCTTTCTGCCTCGATATCTCGCTTACCTTCTCCAATCATAGCTTTATCAGTTTGTTTGTTTGTTTTTTCTCTCTCTGCGGTTAAACATTTCTTTCTGTAATGGAAACAAATTCGGTTTTTTATTTTCTGCTCTGCTTTTATTTATTTACGTTTCTGGTTCCAGTGTGAGCTGCTTCACCCCCTGATCAATTAAATAAAATGACTGCTTGATTATTGGAGTCGCTCAACGAGATTTATTTGCAAAAATTATAAGTATAATAGTTAGGGTTGCCAAAAAAAAAAAAGAAGAAGAAGAAGAAGAAGTACGAAACACCCGTAGCACTTCGTGCCAGAGAAGAAACGTGCGCGACTAATTGTACGAAATGGGGGGAGGATTACAGAATAAACAGCAGAACTCGGCTGTTTTGAGTAGTGGATGCACGCGTTGTGAAAGTAAAAGCATTTCCACGGAGATCCAGGTCACATCTAATAAATAATAACAATAAAAATAAATTCCCGGAGCAGTTTGAGCCGCTGCGGGACTGTGCGTTCGTTCCACCGCAGATGGGTTTTTTTTTTTGCGGGGGGGAGTGGGAGGGTACATCGAGGCTTCCTGATCTGAGTTGGGAGGCTTCAGGCAGCGGATGGGCTTCAGTTTAAGATGCGACATGATTTCCCCGCTGCTGATGGTGTGATCTGTGCAGAACAGCTTCAGCATCTCTCCCTGCTGATTTCCAGTACAGTTCTGCATTTAAACAGCCGCTCGGTGCAGGCAGCAAATCACCAACTTAAATGTTTCAGGCTGCTCTTCATGACAGAAGCTGCAGCCTCTCTAGTGGTGAGAATGACAGGGGAGGCAGATGCTTGTCACATTGTGGATTATCCACAAGACTTAATCCAGTTTTATCCACTGAATTGGGAAATGGATGCAGAGCCTCGTTTCCCTCTTCTCTCCTCGGAGCGAGTCAGTGAGTGAGTGAAAAGCAGCAGAGAGAGTCTGAGTCTGATCTGGACGCCGCTGCTCTACCTTCATGGTAATGGCTCCACTGATTTCACACAGAACTCGGGGCACTCTGGCACAAAGCGTATCAATTATTCACCTCCAGCTGCATACTCTGAGATCACATTGTGCCCATGCGTTTACAGCCTGCTTTTTTCTTTTTCCCTCCCTCGTACGAAGATGTGAAAGCCGAGGTCATAATCCACCGTCGAGCTGCCTCAACTGTCCATGCAGCTAATCTGGAACCAGGTTCCATTCCATCCACCATTCAACCTCACAAAAATGATAATTTAGTTGCAAACTGGAGATGAGTGGGCGTGGCTTATTATGGTTCCTGGAGGAAAAGGCATTGAAATGACCCAGAAGTAAAATTAAACTTCTGTATTTGTTCTATTTAGATCACTAAAAGGATTCACAAGGGCTGCCAGAAGTGTTAACACCTGTTACTTAAAAACTTAATTTCACTTTTGATGTATCTTCCCTAATGCTTTATAAAGTGAGAATTTAACTAATTTATTAGAAGAATATATTAAAATGACATTGGTGGAGAATTTCTCAAAGCCTTAAGCTGATTGGGGGAACCACGTTTTGATTCAGTTTAAGGATCCTTTGCCTTCTTATTTTATAAGCCTATCAGTAGCCATATCATTACACAATTTGACAATTGGAAAATAAATTTGCTTAATGGAAACATGTCAGTTTCAAACAAGTTCTTGTTTTTTCAATAAAACATTTTGACACTAGGTTAAAGTGTTTTTTTGTGTTGTTTTTGCATCACATGATCAACATGGGTGTTACCACTGGTGAAAACCCTGAAGAAGAAAACGACAGGAAGTAGTTGAAGGAAGATGACGCAGCATGTTTTTACTAACTTCCCACGCGAACAAACTTATTCACATGTGATTTTGATTGAGTTATTTACACAAATGTCACAAAATGTTTTTCGAGATTAGCGGGACGTTGACAATTTTTGACATATTTTTTAATGGAAATGCAGCTACTTTGGCGTAAACCCATAGAAATCCAAAAGTATTTGGTAAACAGTGAGTATCCCGGTATTCATGGAGGTTAGGGACCACAACCATGTGAAAGTAGCAGAAATCTGGGAATTTCTTTAAAACACAACTAAGAACATGCAGATAAACCAGCTCTAATGTGATCAATCTGCTCCAGTTTCCTTGATGTTTGGATCAGCCATTACCTGACACGAGAAACTGGTCTCATGTACTTCCACAAAGGTCTGCACCTCAACTTACAACTTATTATTTTAATAGTTCAAACACAAAATATATCTTACTATGCCCTAATGGGCACAGTGGAAACGCCTCACTAGCGCAGAAGCTAACTTCTGTGGTCTTCCTTAGCTTCGCTCTTGGGGTTCAGCCAATTGGTGCCAAGGAAAATGAATGGGGTTCCTGGATTGGTTACTTTACAAAAAGTCACCAAATGGCATTTCAAGTGGCTGTGTGCCACTTATTTCTGTTTCCCATCTGCCTGTTCTTTGGAATAGTCAAACGCACTCTGCATAAAAGTCTGTCAAATTACACAAATAATTTGCACAGAAAAATCTTTGATTTTGGAAATCTGTGAATGCTTAACTGTGGGGGTTCACTGTACGCTGTTTCATTCTGCCAGCAGTCATTGAAACTGGACCACTGAGCCAGGAGTATTTTCTATAAAACGGCTAATGAGAGCTTTTGTTCAAAGGTAACAATGGCAACAACAGCTCTATCCAGACGCCGCTAAAGACAGAAACATTTAGTCAAAAATACTTTTTTATGTTTAAAATTAAAAACAGCTATGAAACAAAGTTAACTTTTATGTCAGTAGTTGCATACAGGAGAGAGACAGAAGCACAGCAGCAGCTCCCTCTGTGATTCTGTCCAGGAAAGAGAAATGCATAAACGGCAAAGCACTCCACCAGGACCATTGGAGCGATTATACAAATACTCATCTCATATTCGTTAATTTACACAACAAAAATAAAAAGACAAAATGCTCACAGTAGAGCCGTTGCTTGGCCAGAACCAATAAAAGCAGCACTCACAGAGATATTTCTGTTCCTGCGAGTCTCGGGTTAAAAATACCCAAATTGCATTCATGAGTTTTGCCTCTGCGTTACATTAAAGTTTAAGTAGGCTTTCACTTTCTTCCCTAATTTCCCTTCCCTCATGAATTATGAATTCACATATTCCTTTCAAGTGTTATTTGACTCTAATACAAACCATAGAACAAATATAGATTCTAATCTAGACCCTCTTCATTTTACACATGTCTATATTGCTATAAGTGAAAGGTATGTGATTTAATCTTGGTGCGGTGCCTGTGAATGAATATTAAGTGGAGTAATTCTGCAGCTTATCGGCTTACAGCAACAGGAGACGCTGCTTTCCAGGTTTTGAGTTATGCTAACGCAGCACTCCCGCCATCAGCTTATTGGGACTTGAAGCTCCGGTGGCAATCCACCAATTATCCCAACAAGCACAGACCGTGTCGTGTTGTGGCCGCGCAGGCTTGTTATGGCGTCTGCACAGGAATATTGTTATCTGCTGACCTGATGATGACCCTCATCATGATTTACACACTGCTGTCTGTTTGATCTCAGATAGTTATTAGATTTGGATAAGAGCGTTAGTAATGCCTTGTGTGTAGATGCAATCTCTGGCTGATAATCCAACATGCTGATGGACGTGTTTACCACTCGCATGTCGTCGTCTGCTCTTGAGAACACGAGCTAACCATAGGAAGTGGATCTCAATGGAGCCGTGTAGTCCGTTTGGACCCGATCCTGCTGTTTTATGCAGACATTGTTGTCGCACCTTTTTCTCAGATATACAGCCCACTGTACAGCTGAGCAAATGGATTAATTTGGAGCGTAAAGCCTTGATTAATGCATGGATGACAGCTTGATTTATACTGAGTACATTTCTGCTTTCTGGCCTGCTTTCTTATTTTTTATTTACCGCTACATTACCGCTGACATATAAACTGAGGCTGCATGATCTGTCAGCTTCACATTCCTTAATGTGGTGATTGATTGACTATCCTCAACTGTAAACAGAAGTCAGTGATAATAGAAGGAACCGTTGGGCTCTTTGAAGATGTCTGAGAAAAAAGCACTCCATTAATTGGTTTTCTTTCAGGATTCAGACTTTTACTGCTGCATCTACCATGGGATGTTTTACTCGGCATCAGTTTCAACATGCCTTGGTGAGACTTAAAGCCTACTTTGACAACCAATGACTGAAACCAATTTCCTGTACTCAATGCATGGTCTGTTGTAAGGAAATGTGGTTATCCCAATCA